CTAAATCCGAGATATATATATTTTTAATTTTTTTATAGTATAAATAGGAAGTTTCAAATTTGAAACTCTTACTTAAACTTCCTTCTTTTAAATCATTCAATTTATTCCTCTCCCAAGAGAAAACCTTAAAATAACCGCGTGCAGTAGTGTGAGGAATGCAACCATAACTCTGTGCGGCCAAAGGAAAGGTAAAGTGTATTTTTTTTTTTTTTTTATCAGCAACGATACATTTGTGAGGAATTCACAATCCTTTGTCTGTTTGATTGAAAAGGATTAATCAGACAATCCTTTTCAATCACACTAAGGATTGTCTGATTAATCCTTTTCAATATTACCCACAATCCATGGCAGAAATAATCTTGACGTCTATATTTTAGCGCAGTACCGGCGGCTTTTTTGGGTTTCCCGTATACTACGTTATGTCTCACGAAAAATAGCTGCTTTGAAGGTTCAAATGCTAAACTAAACATGCTAAATTTTCCAATATTGTCCCTATATAAACTCGGGCATAGGCTGCACCGGACATGCAAAAACTTAGTTACTCTACGTATATTTTTAGGAGGGGGAAAAAAAAAGTAAGAAATGGGATCATTTAAGATCTCCTCAGCAATATTTTGCTTCGTTCTCCTGGCAATGTTCTGGCCATCTCGAGCTCAAAATTCACAACAAGATTATCTAGATGTTCATAATGCAGCTCGTGCACAAGTCAATGTTAGCCGGATAGCTTGGGACGACAGGTTGGCCGCCTATGCAAAGAACTACGCGACGCAGAGGATGAATGACTGCCAACTCATGCACTCTGGTGGCCCTTACGGTGAGAACCTAGCCGCAGGCTCTGGAGACTTCACGGCCCGGGCTGCCGTCAATCTGTGGGTGAATGAGAGGCAATACTACGATTACGGGTCCAATTCATGTACTCAAGGGAAGGAGTGCAGGCACTACACTCAGGTGGTTTGGCGCAACTCGGCCCGCACGGGCTGCGCTAGGGTTCAATGCACGAATAGCCCTTCATGGTTCGTGATTTGCAGTTATGATCCTCCTGGCAACTATATTGGTCAACGTCCTTATTGAGGACATCCTTAAAAGTCTTGCTAAATATCACTAAGTATGTGTTGATCTTTACGGAGATCACCTTAGATCATAAAATAAACGTACTTTTCCAAGCTTTAGCTTTGGAAAGAGGACGAAATAAGGTTACCATTGTGTTAAAGCTACTTGTTTATGTTTGTATGGTGATATGTATTATCTTTGTTTTTCTCTGTGCTTAATTATAGCCTTCTCCAACCCTTTCTTGAGTGATAATTCTTCACATAACTCGAATTTGAACATCTGGATGCACTTCCATAACACGGATGCCGGTGGAGTAAGAAAGATCAAGGGGTGGTACGTCTCAAATCTCTACGCAATTCAAAAGTATGTGAACTGGATATGTTAGGGGGAAAGAGAAAAAGAAAGAAAGGAAGAAACAACCATAAACCAAAAAAAGGGCTTCAGTGAATGTATCTTAGGATGAAATTCGAGACTTTTTGAAGCATATTTAGGCCGGTTAATCATGCAATGCTGGATTAACAATGATGGGGGCATGGAGGGGGCACAATATATGGATTATTCCTAAATCAGAAAATATCAGGATTTTTAGTCCTTATTTTGGTTATTGCTAAAAATTGTATGCTATTTAGCCTGGTTAGTAAATATTCGTATAATCCATGTTCGTTCGTATGATTTAAAAAAAAAAAACTTTCAAATTTTGTAATAAACTTTTGATGTATAATACTTCACGAATTATACTTTAATTTTTTTAAAAAAAAAATTTAAAATTTAAGGACCGGTAACTTATCTTTCTAGTTGTAAATAAAATAACAACAACAACAACATATAACATAGTTATGTAGATTTATAAGTATGAAACTAATAAGGTGATAAAACTTCCAATAAATTTAGCATGTTATACACAAGGATACGAGTTTAAATTAGTACAAATGTAGCATAATTCTTTAAAGAAATATAGAAAATTTGACCGTATTTTTAGTTCTATAACTTTCAAATATATTTATACTATTCACGTACAAATTTATATACATAATCTTGCCAAAAACATTTTTTGCACCAAATTTTAAATCATACTATTGGAAAAAATATCTGTATAACATGCGTATCTATAATATCTAGTATTATACCTATCCCATATTCTGCTAACTATGCTACTTAACATGTTAAGGTGCCACAGAATTGCTAGTTGGGAACTTTCTCATCTTAACCACTTTTATTTGTTAATAATAAATTAACCATATGTAGCACAGGTATTTAGACCAATAAAGAGAATTTTCTTGCAGCTTGAAACCATAATGAGCACAAGAATTTGGCCTTGACGTTATCAAGATTAGCATAATATAATAAGAGCCAAGGTTAGTTAATCATCCTTAAAACGTAAAAACTCTTTGGCCAAAAATGGGAATCCAAACAATATGATAAAAATTACTAGTGAAAAGAGGGGAAAAGATAAGACGAATTTTGAATTTTCAACTACACTTAATTATAACTTATGGTAACGAAAAAAATGTATTACAGTGATTTTAATTTCACGCCTTTGTTCTTTTCTTAATTCAATTTGAATGTGTGTCTGTCCTAGGCTTGCTCACGACTCGAGCTGTAGTTCGCGAGCAGCTCGAGTCAAAGCAACACGAACTCGAGCTGTTCGTTAATACAAACGAGGCGAGCTCGAGCTCGGTCAACAAGAACTCGAACCGTTCGTTAATACAAACGAGGCGAGTTCGAGTCTTCGTTTCTTAGGCTTGATAGTCCGACGAGCCGCTCGTTAGGCTCAAGTAAATGCGAAATTATAAAAATATCCCTGAATCAATTAAAATTTACAACTTATTCTATTTCTCACTTCCTTTATTAGGTTACCTACTTTTCCTTTCTCACTTTCTCTAATCGAACTTTTTCCTCCACCGACTGTCCTAGCTGCCAAACTCCTAATTCGTACTTCCGCCACAGCCATCTCTGCTAGCTCCACCTCCACCACTTCCGCCAGCTCCTCAGCAACCTCCAAGCTTTCTCTGTCGACTGTCCTAAGTCCCAACTCCCAATTCCCACTTCCGCCACTGCCATCTCTGCTAGTTTCATCTCTACCACTTCCGCCAGCTCCACTTCAGCAACCTCCAAGCCACGCAAGAAACTGAGTTTCTTTACTTTCTTTCGTCACGAAAAATGAAAAAGTCAAAGTAGCAGACCTGCAGAGGGCTTCTTCTTTCAATAACGGAGAACAGGGCCAAGCTCTCCTTTGTCTCACCACCTGGAGAGGCTTCTTCACCCGGTCTTAGATATCTAGTCGATGTTTTCTCACTCTGTCTTGCTTTTCTTATTTTCCTTCTCTTTAACAACGAAGTTGCAATGTCCAATTTGCCTATTTTTGAGCTTGTTATTTCCTAGTGAATAAAAAGTTATGATGCCTGGAGTACAGTGACTTATAAATATGACTGCCTTTAAGATGTTTGCTGGTTTCCTCTAAGAATGGCAGATGTTCTTACTATTCCTATATGTGTTGTTAAAAATATAATGTAAGAAAGCAACATTATTACCAGATATCATTAATAAGTTTTGGTTGAATTTGTTCTGAAGGAGAATCTTTATGTTTTTACCAATGGGTTTCAACTGCTAATATCTGCTTCTGCGTGAAGGATGCTTATCTGCTTTCTGTAGACCTGAAAGGATTTGATGTGCTAGGAAAAGTTCTAGGTCCGGGGCGGGCTGATGGCTCTCGTGAATATGAGTGGAAGGAATTTAGAATCATCTTCAAAGAAGTTAGGCAAACCAAGTAGGAGAAATTTCTAATTTTATGATGAATTTTAAAAAAATTCTACAAAGGGAGCATTTTGAGCGTGAGATTCCGTCCAACGGGTCTTCGCATTCAGTAAATGCGAGCTTACTGAGCTTGCATTTGCTGAATGCGAAGTCTCTTGAAAATTTGCAACCAACGAAATGCAAAAACAAAAAAAAAAAAAAAAAAAAATCTAGACCTCGCATTTATCGAATATGAGGTCCATAAATGCGAGGTCAGGTAATGCGAGGTCATTGATATTTTGACACTTAACAAAATGCGAGGTCAGGTAATGCGAGGTCATTGATATCAGGTAATGCGAGGTCATTGATATTTTGACACTTAACAAAATGCGAGGTCAGGTAATGCGAGGTCATTGATATTTTGACACTTAACAAATGCTCATATTTCAGTCTCTGGAAGAACGATTCAAACGAGATTTGCAATAGCTTAGTTTGTTTCAAAATTGCTTGCATTATTAGTACCTTTAGAGAACGTCCACTGACGGGATTTTGATATAAATGCAAGTTAAATCTGATTTATACCCGTTTTACTACAAGTATACAGGCCGAATTAGTAGATTTGGATATGTATCGGATCAATCTCATGAGGAACAATTTAAACAAGTATTAGTTCCTTATTTACTGTATTGTTTAGACTTACAATGAATTTGAGCAGAAAAATCAGAAATATTGCTATCTACAATCTAAATATTTGTAATATAACAAGTGGAGAAAAATCACTAAATACCTTAGTCTAAATACCTGGAGAAAAATCCTTATTATTTTTTAAAATGAAGAAATAATAAAATTCTCTCTAAAGAATAATCATGAGAGGAGTGTGACACTTATTGATCATATTAATCATTTAACTTATAAAATCAAATAAAAAGAAGAAATTTTATCAAATATGCGAAATATAGGCATAATTTTCTCCACTTTACAAGACATACTTTCCTATAAATGCAAAAATTATAATCACATAATAATCATTTCCAAATTAAATGAGAAAAGAAGTTTTCAAACCACATATATTTATTTCAGCAGGATATTTGACAAAAATTGTATTTGTTTATTGTAATTTATTATGATTAATATATATATATTTATTTATTAATTTTTTTTTGAAAAAAATTTTGACAAAATCTCCCCTTAAAAGTGGACTAAACTCCCTGCCAGCAAACCCAAAATAGACAACATTTAATCTAAGCAGTATTTCCAACAACTTGTCCAAATATTAAACATAAAACTACTAAAAATACTACACATTTCCTCCCCCACACTTAGAATACACATTGTCCTCAATGTGTAGGGAAAGAAAAGAAACAAAAGAAAGAAGGAAGTACTTCCCAGTGCAATGGTTGAGATCCAGATTACCCAATAATCACGAATCACTACCAAAGCACAAGTATCTACTAAATTGAAAACAGAAAAAGTAAAATCATGTTAAACATCTAACATTCCACAGATTAAAACAAAATGCAAGCAAATCCAAAACTGTGCAAGATAGTCATCCTAATGGTGTAGCTTCAATTATCATTTTCATCTGCAGCACCACTCTGAGGCGGAGGAATGCCTAAATGAGCCTCTATACGTGCCAAGCGAGCGTCTATCCTCCCCAACTGGAACTGAATATCATCCAAGGTAGTGAAAAGCCGTCGCCAATTGGGTTGAGGATGATGCACGGGGGGAGGTGGTGGAGGTGTAGAGGTGGATGGACCAACATCATCTCCACCATGCCTTGCTTTAGAACGCCGCTCCATAAGTGGAGGAATGAAAGCAGCCAAGTCGATGCCCATGTTGCGTAGCAAGGTAAAAGATAACTTGGTACTGGGGCGGACAACTTGTCGATCAGCTCCAGCTAGATTAACCCCCATCCGTTCAAACACCAATGTGAATAGTCGAGGGAATGCCAGCTTGAAAGAAGTAGTCCGACGTCTCACCGTTGACCGTATATAGCTGATGATGATATTTGGCAACGAAATTTGAGCGTAAGAGGTCTCCCGGTTATGGAACATGTAGTCCAAGATGTAGATATCACTCTTCCTGACCTCGCTATGACCCGTCTTCTTGGGAATCACATTGTGCGCTATCATATAGATAATGAGGCGATGGCGAACATCAAAAACTGTAGCAACAATTGTCTCCTTCCTCGATGAACGGAAAGGTTGGTACTGAAGACCGAACCTTGCCATAGCATGTGTCGGATCCCATCTTTTGTTTGGAGCGACGAAGCCTTTTTTCAAATCCACTGCAGGACCTTCGTCACGACAACCCAAAATTGCCGCTAAACGCTGCCTTGACAAGACGATGCGTGTTCCCCGAACAAAGGACTCCACCTTTTCACCACTATGCTTCGCCTTGTTAATGATATTAGCATAAAACTCACGCACAAGCTCCGGATAGTAGTAAACGGGTAGTCGAAGAATTGGCGCCCAACCAAGTTGGTCAAACGCTTCCGAAATCTGAAAGGCATTCTCAACTTCGGTGCTCACATGTTTTTCGAACAAGAACTCCAAGTTGGCATGTGCTTCATACCACTTCTGGTGTTGCAGAGTGGAAAATCTAGCGCTATCAAATATCTGGGGCTGTAGTGCAGTTCTCCCCCGTAGACGTCTAGAATCAGGTGCAGGCGAAAGAGATCGTGCTACCTCTTCAGTTTCTTCAACTTCCTCACTGATGTCCAAGTTTTCTTCAGCCTCCTCACTGCTAGAGGAAGAATAAACTACTTGCCTTTTTCTTCCCATAGTACTTGCCATGTTGCATGCATGGATAAGCGACATCATCGGACCAACATTGGTAGTTGGTGGAATGAAGATGCTACTGACTTGAGGATTTTGGACAATTTCCTCCTTCTCGATATAAAGTTCGGCGATGTATGGGACAATTTCGTTCCATACATCATACATTATCTCCAGAGTTTCATCATCCAACACTTGGGAGAGATTATAAGAGGTACGGCCACAAGGTTGGCGGAGAAATAAATTCAACTTGAACATCCCCCTATCAACCCCCATATATTGATAAATTCTATCCACCAGCTCTTCATACCCAATTCTATGCCGTAATGAGAATGTACGGTTGGAGGTACGAGGTAAATAATAAATTGACTCATCCTCATAATGTATTTTACCTCCCCAATAAAGAGACACTCGCAGAGGTCTTTCTATAGACATGTGTGCGAAAAGAATCCCTATTTTGGAAAAAATAAATTAGAATTAGTAGTACAAGACTATGTAACAAATGCCTAGAACTACTTTTTTAGGCATTAAAAAAGGGTAGAATGCATGTATTTATCATTTTGCATGTGCGTGTAAGGTACAAATTAGTAAACAAATGATTTAAAATGCATTGTGAGTTTTTGGCTATAAAATTGGTTGTGCATGAATTTTTGTAGAAACTGCAGACGCGACCACAAGGTCGCGTATTGGTGGCCACGTATTACAATCCGCGCCTGCAAAGAAGAAAGCGCGATCACAATACGCGACCACTACGTCACGTATTTCGATGTCGCGTATTACACTCTGCAACCACAGTGCACAAAACACGACAACAATACGCGACCATGAGGTCGGGTATTGAGTGGTCGCGTAACACTGAATTGCCAAACAACCAATAATGCATCCAAATTTACCACTGAATTGCCAAACACATAATAATGCATCCAAATTTACCACATAATACAGTATCTAACAACCTTAATAAAGTAATAAAGTGCCAACCAAAAAGACCCAAAATACTTTTAAAAAAATTTTGACAGAGTCTCCCCTGTAACTGGGCTAAAACTCCCTGCCAACCAACATAGCCACATCGATTTTCAAACAATTGAGAATTATGAGATAATTTAGAACACTACAACTGCAGCTTCTCCTACTTTGTTGTAATAGTTGAGAAGTTAGACATAATTATAGTGAACTTTGTTAATATTCAGTCATAGGCATACATATTTTGGGCTACACAAGATAGGCAACTGTGATATTTTGACAAACCAACAATAATAATATCATGTATATAGTAGAGTGTGAAACTACAATAATTTCTTATACTCCCCTGTCCTCCGTGAACCGAGCAATTAAAAAATATACTACAATAAAGGGCATCACTTTAAATTCATGAATTCACCATAAAACGAATCCAAGAAAAGTTAAAAAAACTAGAACATTAATACGACTACAATTATGTCTAGTAGCTCCAGCATGACTTACCCAATGACTTGCCTCAGATTCTGAAGATGCACTTCTGCAGATTTGATCCTAGTGGTACCAATCCAAGCCTCTTCAAGTCCCCTCGTTTGTGTAATAAACTTTGTACAAACCTATATGAATACGATGGAGAGCACAGAAAACCAAGATAATTTAAAAAAATTTATTCGTTGCATGAATTTCTCAAAACCAATTAAACTCATTAGTAGAATTTGTGAAAAAATTTCGACAGAGTCTCCCCTATAACTAGTCAAAAACTCCCTACCATTCAAAATCCAAACATGTATGGACTTTGAAAACTACTTTAATTAATTGTTAGCAGCTTAGATCCGGTGTGCAACTGCAACTAAGGTGGCCTAATCTAAATCGCACAAGCTTATTTTCTGTTTTGTATTTGCAACTAATGTTTGAGATGTACGGCTACATTAATTCTTTGTTGCTCCACATTTAGTAAAATCTAATTATGAAAGTGATTATAGAGAAAAATTAGAATTAGCAGAATATACCCTTGGCTGTTTATGGATTGTAGCTGCTTTCATTATTAAAGCCAAATCTATAACTTGAATTAGGAGTCAACATTTAATATTCAGTTCTAGGAAATGTTTTACTTTTCAGATTAGAAATTAGAACCCTTTACATAGACAACTCCTCTTGTTTGAAAATCAAGACATAATTTTAGAAGTTCAGTCAAAAGGAAAAGGAGGAACATCAAAGCATATCCACATTAGAGGAAATTGCAGCATAGTCCCTTTATAAATTCCGCAGTCTTAATTTCCTCCTCAACATTTTGTTATAAAATTGTAGGAGTAGAATTTTTAGGCTGTCAATGCACAATTCTATTTCTTTTTTTAAATTTAATTGGAACATATTCGAATTTTTGGACTCTTATTATCTATAACAAGTGTAATCTCAGCAAAACCGATATGTTGTTTTGCCCCAAAAGACTAGAACAACTCATTGATTAGCTTTAAGAACAAAATCTTGTCTTTCACAAATCAATGCAAATAGAAATAATTAGCATATATAGGGTCCATGGATTCTAAGTTCATTGTGCCAAAAACTACCCCAAAACGGACACTTTGTACATTTTCAAAGAAATAACTATAACAAATCCATAACACACTTCTCTAACTATTGAAGAGAAATCATGTAAGCACACAATACATAACGGAATGGATATATGGAAAAAATGAAATGATAGAAAAAAGTTAAAAGCTATTAGATTTTGGGTTTACATCTTCAGAACAAATCTTGAGCCAACTAGGTGGAGCCTCTTGTAGGGTAGAGCTAAATTTGAAATACACTTTTTGCCCAAACCCAACCAAATACGTGTGAATTGATTTTCATTCAACCACTTATATGTAGAAATTTTGGCGGCCATGTTTTTTTTTTTACCAAGTCCAAAGACTTTTGTAAGTTAGAACTCAACTCTTAATCCACAGGAAACCACAAAAGCCGGCAACTCTTGAGGTTCCCGAGGAGACTTAAATACTAACCCCAAACCCCCCCCCCCCCCAACACTCGATGTGGGACAAACCTAAGCAGACGAGCTGCAGCTAGATCTTAACTAAGAATCCACTCGCCCGGACAGTTTGGCGGCCATGTTTGGATAGCACTTTTTGTTACCAAAAAAATATATTTTTTTTGACTTTTTAAAATTTTTTTATATAATTATTAATCAACTTTTTCACTCATATATATAACTATAAAAAATTAATAATTAAAAAAGAACTTTTCAAAAAATGCATTCCAAACAGGTTTGCATTAAATTTTCATTTTTTCCTTTTCACTTTTGGCATGGACAAATGGTTACAACGAATTTCCTTTCCCCCTCGTTTCTTCGCGCATACTAATTGCAACGGTGCATTTCATATTATATCCACAACTTCACTTAATTCATCATCTTTGAGGCAGGAGGACGCCTCATACATTGCAGAAGTTAACAACTTCTGTTCAGGAATTTTCACAAACGCCTTGTGTACATCCATAAAATACACTTTCTTGCTTAAATATCGCTCCAAAAAAAAATTCTATCTAATCACACCAATTTACAACTCAAACACGAGACCAAATGCAATGGTTTTTAGACATCAAGGCACTGAAAACCGTGGAATGCAGCATCATATGTGTAGACAATTTTTGGTACAAAACCATGATCGCCCAACATCTCCAATGGAATCAATCATGGAGGTGTACCAGTAAATGTGACTGGCGAAAACCTTAGGCATTAAGGACTTGTCAGACTAAGCATGGCAAGCTAATAAGACACAAACCGAAACAACAATAACGTTCAATAAATTGCCAAAGCAGAAAAGCCAGCTCAATTCAGAAAACAAAAAATCCCAGAAAACAACAAAGAAACTCACAAAAGAAAAAGAGACATTCATACCTCTTATGCTGTTTCTGAGCAACAGAGCATAGCCACCAACTTTTTGAAAGCCATTTGCCAAGTGTAAAGAAAATGTGCAGCAAATGGGACACAAAATTGGTTGGGGAGTCCTGTTGAGGTAGTAAAAGTGGCAAATTGGGAGCGGGGGGGGGGGGGGGTGGGAGGCGCGGCTTGGTTTCAGCTTGGCAGAAATGGGTTCCTAGCAGGGGTCCAAGCTCTACAATGGCGGAGAGCTTCCGACAAGAAAGATGTGAGGGATTTCGTCTGCCGAGATGTGACTGATTTCGTCTACAATGGCCGAGAGCAGAGATACTTGGACTGGTTTCTACCTCAGCAAAAGAGAAGAGAGTGAACTCCAATTTCCGCCGGTTAGGAGACAGATTTGAATTCCGTAATTAGGAGCTTCAGATTTGAATGCGAGCTTCGCCTTGTCTTTTTTACTTTTTCCCAAAACATTTCTCTTTTTTCCTTAAATATAGACCTCGCATTTCTATATGCGAGGCCTTGCATCTCACAAATGCAAAGATCATAATGCTAGAACTAGCTTAAAAAATTGCACCCTTGTAGAATAACTTTTTTTTTCCCACAATTTAAGAATTTTCTCAACCAAGTAATGGCAGACAAACATTTGAAGTAGTGGCAGACAAACCAAGTAGTGGACTATTTTTTTGCTGGTTTCTTTTGCTGGGCTATCTTTTGTTTCTTTTGCAGACAAACTCAAGCTGATTTGGAGCTCGAACCTAGAAATTGAACTAAATTCGAGTGAAATGCGAGCCAGAAAATCGAGCGAAACTCGAGTTGCTCGCTAGCCAGAATTTGAGCTAGGCTCGCGAGCCATAAGCGAGTCGATCTCGAATTTGTCTTTTCCTAAATCGAGCCGAGCTCGAGCTTCATTTTACAAGCTCGACGAGTTCGAACTTGAACTCAAGCTGGCATAAATAAGCCTAACTCGACTCGATAATGGCTCGCGAGCCATAAGAGAGTCGATCTCGAACTTGTCTTTTCCTAAATTGAGCCGAGCTCGAGCTTCATTTCACGAGCTCAACGAGCTCGAGCTCGAACTCGAGCTAGCATAAATAAGCCTAACTCGACTCGACTCGTTTGTACTCTCAGTCTATCCGATGATAAACCCAAGCCTCCAACATATGGCAAAAGATTTGTGCTTATAAGTGTCATATTTGTCTGTTTTCTCTTACTATATATATATATATATATATATATATATATATATATTATTTATTTATCTATGTGCGTGTCTATATATATTTTTATCATCAAATAGGAGATTTAACACTTACAAGGGGAAGGGGAAAGGGGGAGTATTTGAAAGTCGAATAAAAAATCTTTCGATCGCTTACTACGACTAGTTTATATCACTTGGTAGAATTCGAATCAATTTGATCTCACGTGAGACGTGACCTTCTTTCCTTACCCTTTTTCTGGTTATATTTGGCACATAGCTACCTGAATCAACGAATGAATCCATGATAGATATCTCGTACCCTTAAAAAAGTTCAGTACTACTTCAAAGTATGAGTATCTTCATAATGTTTAAGGTCAAGTTTAAGTGAGTAATTTCCCTTTTGGATTATAACTGTTAAGGTCAAGTTTAACTAAGTAATTACCCTTTTTGATTGTGTAGTAGAGTACTTTTTTACGCTTTATAGTTCCATTAATGGAGTTGAATCCAAGAATATTGGAGAACATAAACAAAGAAGGGAGAGAATAATAAATTAGGAACCTAAAACAGAGAATCATCCAATTCTCCATTGATGAACAGCCTGGTTGACTTTATTCTAGGAACCTTAACTTGCATGGTGAGACTCAAAACTCCCATTGCCATTACCTTTATGTGGGTATTCAAATTCAAGTATGTCCATTATTATCTAATAGCAACCTTGAGAATCAAATTAATGATTTGGCTGACGAGTGCCCCAAATCACTCGTTAACTTTTTTGACAAGAGTGAAACTAATTTTGAAAAGTATTTAAATACAAAGGGAAATTAATTGTGAATTTATGCATTTAGATAGTAAATTAAGTGTAATTTAAGTATTTTAACGAATGTTCTGATGCTCATTAGAAAAAAAATCCTTAAAAAAATTCTGAAAATTGATAGATATTGCCACATGGAAGCAAATAATAACGTTCACCAAATGATGTAATATTCGTGAATATGATGGGTAATCAGAAAATAGAAATCTAACCAGAATTTTCTTATATAGAAAGAAGGCTATCCAACCAGAGTCGAGGATAATGGTCTCTTAAAATTGCTGAATGCAAAAGCCTTCTTTTTTTTTTTTTTCAATTCTCTTTTGCCATGATAATCATACTTGCATTTCATCAACACAGGATTGTTGAGGCGGCCAAAAGGAGAGCTAACTTGACGATATATGGTCTAGCAGCATAGACAGAGCCAACTTTTTTTTTCTTTGGCTTAGAGGAGGAAAACAATCGAGTAGATTGTAATACAAAATAATGAAGCAAAGAAAATGTAACTGATTAATGGGCATGTGGCATTCTGGAAACATTAGCTATTAGGCCGAAGTAGACGCATAAGACCCAAAAGATTAACAACGTGTCGAGACACATTCTCAAAATTTGGTCTCGTCACAAAAAGATATCGAAGAATATCTTGATTAGGAGATAATGATCTGGATACATCCACTTTTACCTCTTCATCCTAACTATTAAAAGATGCTCAGTCATGAAGTGTGATTACACAAAATCAGTGATCTACATTAAAGAGACTTGCCAGGATCATCAAAACTAAATTAAGAATGCACCATTTGAAGTAACGAGTACAAAAGATGCAAGTATATACATTCAAGCAAAAAATAGAGATAATATGGGCGGGCCTTGAATAGACAGGGGTTGTATTGATCTTAAAGCAAAAAATTGTCGTTTGAAGGTCACGCATTCCCTACTAAACAGCTTACAACTTCAGTCAATTGAAACAAAGATTTCATATGAGGCAGCAGTGAAGCTAAAGAAATCAACCAGTCTCCTGCTCAAAGTCATCTCCTTCAGACTCTTCTACATTGTCAGCATCATCATCATCTGCATCATTGTCGAAGTCTTCTTTATCATTGTCTGTAGTTGCCTTCCCAATCACAAGAAGATTGCTATTTGTTTTTCGGATTTCATTGCACTGAGAACGTAATAATGATGAATCAATCAGTTGAAATATACAAAATTTACCAAATTCGAAGAAGATTAAAAGACATGCGAGCTAAAATCAAAATGATTGAATAGACATATTCGAGGCTGAAGCTCCTCACTATTTCATGAAGATAAGATGCCAATTCCACAATAAAATGAAAATGAAGTCGTTCTAAGTCAGCGGGCCCAACAAAATTCAAAAAAAGACAGCTTATTCATGACTTTTGAATTACATAGACTTAGGATTAGCTTCTCAAAATTCAAGTTGGTATTCAAAACCAAGAGAAAGGGCTAATTGGAATAATCAAGCAACTGGATATGTACAAAAGTATGACAAATCATAAAGCAATAGAAATTGTGTCATGTTAGAAGAGGAACCATAAATGCCAACTGCAAAATATTGCTAACGAAAAAAGCAAACGCTTAAAGGAAACAACCAAGATTCAAAATCTAGACTACAGGCCAAGACAAATTATATAGACAAGGATCAGCTTCATCAGACTTTAAGCTGGCATTCAAAACCAAGAGAAAGGGCTATTAGAAAGAATCCAGCAACAAATGGAAGTGTGCAAAAGTACGATAATTCAGAAAAGCAAAACAAATTGTCTCAGGTTAATAAAGGAACCATCAATACCAACTCAGATATGTTGCTAAAGTAAATAATTGAAGGAAAAACAAGATATAGCATCCACAATATAGGCTGAGAAACAATCTGCTTATACTATCAAAATTATTTATAAAATAACATGGTTGTGTATCAAGTACCACAATTATTTTTCACTCTAAACAGGTAAAAACTCTAAACCAAATCATGTAGAGCTATAGTAGATTCCAGGATACAGAGCACCCATGATGTCATATAACAATGGATACATGCAAGATACATAAGTAGATATAAAATAAATTCCAAAACCAGCATATCTTCTTTAGTGCTAATTGTTTCAAGATTTTAGCCTGCCATGGCTCTTATACCAAATTGGAAGTGCTTTAGTTTGCTCAATAAGCCATGAGGTGCACGTATTCTAATATCAAAAGTCATATTGTACATGGATAGTCACACAAATTTCCAGTGCAAGCCATGTTCAGTTCTCAGAACTTCTTCCAGTGGGTTAGCTTTTTACACTACTCTGTACTTACTGCCATACCTATACTGCATCAGATAATAAATTCTTATGTTCAATAACTTTGGTTAAATAAACCTCATTCCTTGACAAAGAATTTTCAGTAAGAAAAACCAGTATGTATCTGAAAAGTGCAAGTTGAAGACATTTCCTGAGAAAATGGAATTATGTATGCCTGTTTAATGACATATAATCATTCAATATTAACACGCAACAAAAGAGGGCAGATGTGCATTTGATTAAATCTCCAGCTGTTTTAACCATCAACTAGCCTTACCATTCAAAACTGTTCCTTTCCACATGGATAACTAGCCCAAATTATGAATGTGATCAAGCATTTGTTACTTATTCAGTTTGCTCTCTTCATTAGAAGGTCAATAGACTGATCAAATGAACTTCCAGACTGCCTAGATTGACTGTGCAAACAAGTAACCAATATTAAAAAGGTATGTCAATGATTAAGATTAGCTAATAACTGCGAGATTCTGCAATGACCTAATAAACGCATCCTAAACAAGCATGTTGCATCTTCAACACACAATTCAAATTAGCCACTCCCACAATGTCCAACTGTTAAATTTCACAAATCAAAGTGCATAAATTTATTAATCAAATACCAACGAGAAGAACAACTCAGCCCCAGCTCCAAGTGTATAATAGCTCACAAATTAGAGCTGTAAAATGCCAACTTGGCAGGCCAGCACTGAAAATTGATAACACATGGAGGAAGTAAGTTGGTGAACTTTGACAGCTACACATGCAGATCCCACCAAATTGTCGCCATCAGCATGATTAATGTCAAATTTTAGAAACATGTTAATGCAACACTAAGTTTCAGGCTTACAGCAAGCATATCAATTAGCAACAGAAGCAAATATTCAAGGGGTCATTCTTTTGCAGAACAGTTTTAATAAGCAACACCTTTTTCAACGAAACAAATAACTAAGAACTATTTTAGACGGGAATTAAAAAGAAAAACAAACAGTAAGAATCTTACAATGTAAACTTTGACAAATTGGTAATAAAAACCTGTACCATCATTACTAGTCCTTCTTCTTCTTTCTAAACCTAAATCTATGTTCTTTTTGCTGGAATCTCTTAACAAGGAATTCCTGATACTTAGGCCTTCTTTTATATCAAATTACTGGGATTTCAAAACTCTCAGAATATCAAACTTACTCAATTTGTTGCATAAAATTCCATCTAAAAATGGCATTGCTTCAAAATCCTGCCATTATCTCTTGAGTTTTACCTTCATTACCTTTTCTTTTCTGAAAATTACATACATAATCTCATCTTAACAAAGAAAAAGGAAAATTTAAATCCAAGATTTCATTTTCCGGAATCTTTAAGCAAACCCTTACAAAGTTGCCAAGCATTCCCTAAAACTTCTATCTAGTCCATGAACTTCAATGTTCGCTCATTCAAGTCTTTTTTTTTTTGGATCTTTACCTAATTTAATTCTTCAAAATGCTCGGAAAATCAAATGTCTTTGTTCCCAAATTAAAAATTACATCCGCATACCAAATAAACCCCATAAATTTAATCAAGAATCAATTACAAACACTATACTACATTAAAGCCCTAGAAAACATTAAGCACACAAGCAACTTTAAAACTAATTTTGGAAAATTAAATAACTCAGCTTAACTCCAAAAATTTATTGAAACAGAATTGGAGATCAATTACAATAGGAGATTGTAATTAACTATTGAAAAAAGGAAGTTGGAAATTTTTTGACCTTTTCTTCGAATTCGGCCTCTTCCATGGAGAGAAGGAGCTCGTCGCTTTGGGGCTGAGGCCACTGAGCTGGAAGCAGATACGACGTCGGAATCATCCGAGTCGACCATGGGTACTGAGTCATGAATGCCGGAAATTGCAACATGCTCGCTCACTCACTGAGTCGTCGACCGTTCTCCTCTTCTCTCTTCTCCACCCGGTTTTAGCTATCAATTCAGTTCAAAGGTCGACCCGTTTTTGTGATTGAGACGAATTTTATTTCAAGTTACCAAAATAAAGTCTGGTATTTGCTTTTCGGGTTGCATATTTTACATTCTTTACTTTTAATTCCCCATATTTTTCTAAGTACTGCATTTGGACCCAGAGAATATGAAGCTTATTATTATCTCTTTTTTATTTTCCCTTATTTTCCTTTGTTCACTATATATATATATATATATATATATATATTGTAATTTAGACAATATATATATATATATATTTTTAATTCCACGTACCATAGTGAACCACATTGACCATGATGCATTTCTAGAATTGGCAACGATTTCAGGTGCAACTCATCAAAATTCACAGTAATCCTATTAAAGAAATTGGACTAATTCCATTAGCCTTTTTTTCCTCCTGATTTTTGGAGGGGTTGGGGGAGGGGAAGGTTCATAACCCTATAGATTATATGGGTCTGAATTGTTTTAGGAAAAAATAGTTTCTAGCTCATAATTATTTAGTGATCTGATTTACGCCTGTCTAATATGATATTATTGTTCTTGACATTACAAGTGTAAACACTTTTTTACGTGAGTCGATTAAGACGTAATGGTTTCGCTAATGAAATATTGAGTCCAACAAAAATGCATCTTAAAAATTACCTATCAAAGTATACAGATTATTTTGGTGGGAACTTCATATTTTCATGCGGGTTTTTTTTTTTTTTTTGCCTTGTTATGTCAAGTGCAAATCCAAATATAGTAATCCATGACATGCAATAAAATAGTACACCCCTTATGGACTCAACATAGTATGAATGATGCTATTCCACCTGCAAAACCTGGGAGCGAAATTGTTTCCCCATACCAACGAACTCCAACTTTGCTGATATATTCTGCAACACCCCTCGTCAAGTGCAGAGCCAAATCTAGTAATCCATGACATGCACTAAAACAGTACACCCCTTGTGAACGATTTTATTTGCCTTAACTCAGAAATCTAAACAGCCCTCCACTTTCTTCCCCCCCACCCTCCCCCCCCCCCCCCCCCCCCTCTGAAAAAAAGAGAAGTGCACATATTACTCAGTCGTCACACTAATGATCCCATCTCCCTCGTGTCACTTTCTACTGAGCCCCACGTTTCTTCATGGCTTCAACTATAATCCTCTCCCTCTTCCCCCCTTTAAAGTACCACTTCAAGAAGAAGACCAGCAAGCCCAATAAGGCCATTTGTAACTTGTCCTGAAACTTTTTTCCTGTTTTTCATCAACCCCAATAATCTTTCAGCCATTAGCCACCAACCCTTTAATTTTGCTAGCAACATTTATTTGTTGGTACATTTGCATAGAAATACAAGAAGCAAAGGATGCGGCTTTTTGTGTGCTTGTTGGAGGGAAGGGACTTGGTAGTGAAGGATTCACATGTGAAATTGAAAGTTGGTAAGTCTAAGTCTAAGACAAGGGTGTAGAAGAACACAAGAAATCCTGTTTTGGAATGAAGAGTTTGTGTTCAGAGTGCATGACGTGGAGGATGAACTTGTTTTGTCTGTGTATCAGTTTACTGAAGACTCTAAATTCTTTAATGTGGCTGGAGATTTGGCGGGCAATGTTAAGATTTAAGTTCGGTCTATTGTTGCTGAGGAAAACCACAACTTGCCTCCCACTTGGTTCTCTCCTCAAAAGCGCAAGAGCTTGAAATCAACGACTAAGAAAGATTATGGTATGGCTTTGTATGTTTTGTTAGTGTTATTTGATGATTGGTACTAATGCTTTCGTTGTTGTTTTATGTACTTATTTATGTTTAAATCATGTGAACTAGACACAAACTGCCTAATCTCTGAGTCATTTAATGGTTATGGCTTCTTGAACTGGACTTCTTCAAGAACCAAGAATTTTGAATTTTTTGGTTAATAAGTGCAGTTAATTGCATGATGTCAAATCAGTGATTGAAATAATGAGAGGATTTCTTAGTGCCTATAGAAGAATTTTGGTGCTTCCTGGTGTTAAATATTTTAAGTCAGTTTGCAGAAATGAAGCTTGAAAATGGCCCTTAGGAATGTTAGGACCAGTGAGAGGAGTTCAATTCCATGCTTGGTTCTATATTTACAAGAATTAGAAGTCCTTAGATGGCATTTGCGCACATTGTTACACTTTTTGAGGTGCCAATTGGGTTCTGAAGAATTGGTTAATTAGAATATCGATTAGAAAAATTAAACCAGGTAAAATGGCCTTGTCCTCAGTTTTGCTCTATTAGATTGGATACTAAAAAGGAGATTGAGTGGATTTAATTGCCTTTCCCATTGAGCATATAATAAATTATTTTTATACACCAATTATACAGCTGTGTTTAACTTTACCTTATGAATGCAGGTAAAATTCTTCTGACACTGTCGCTGCATGGGAGAGGTAAGCAAGTATGCAGTGGCCATCTCTTGCATGTACATCCAAGTTGCAGAGCTGAAAACACAGACAAGTATGGAAATAAATCTGTTTTTTCTCAAGATATTTTTACCTGTACTCCTCCAACAAGGAAGATATTAGAAGGGAAACAGCTAATGAAGGTAATTGCGGGTCGCTTTGAGAGGCTTTTCAATAAAAACGAAGAAGCATCAGGGACTGAGGATTCTTCTGAGCTGTCAACTACCATTTCTGATAATGAAGATAACTTGGCTGAGCCAACCAGGAACAATAGCTTTGTAGAGTGTCATGAGATTCTGTTGCATTTCTGTATATGTCAGCCCTGTAGCAAGAATATTTGTGTTAAGCCATTGTTAAACTTAGTTAAAAAGATATGCAACAAGAAACAAGCTCCTCAATATGTGACAACATGGTTGCTCCCCCAATGCCATAACTGGTCCTTGAAAGTGTCTAATTTACGCTATTATTTTGCAGCCTTTCTCTTTGCATCTCTCTAGTATAGTGACTAATGTCAGGAATCATTCTCATGTATCTGTTTTAGCCCTGCATGTGTTTGTTTCTGCTTAGGAGACAGGATTTCTATGCGTTTTCTCTCCTGTATCTTCACCTGCTTGCAGCAGTAGTTTTTCTTATTTGGGCTTTATTTCTTCATTGAAATGTTTCTGTCCTCTATCTGTCAATCAAACTGATAGTTGCTCCTCTGGAAAGATAAAGTAATTCTTGAAATTTTCACGGCCAATACAGCAGATAAGATCGCTGTTGCAGATGTTTGACGGTGGAGACTTCTAGTATAAAGTGATGGCAAATTCCGGCTACAGCAAATTACACCACAACTCCATGGGAACCTGTAACACATCATGTACTTGAAAGACGTATATCTTACAAATGTGTTCGTGGTATCTCAGTTTTTGGAACACAGCAAAAGATTCCATTTTCTGGTGATGGTGGTTGGATTGTTAATGAGGTTATGGCCCTTCATGATGTTCCATTCAGTGCAACTCTTCAAAATTCACAGTGACCCTATTAAGGAAATCGAATTTATTCTCTTTGCCTTTTCCTTTTTTTTTTTTTTCTTTTTCTTGGAGAGGTTGGCGGAAAGGAATGTTCATAAGCCTATAAATTATATGGGCAGAGGCGTTTTAGGTAAAAAAAATATATAGTTTCTAGCTTATAATTATGTTGGTAATAATATTTAACCTACGCCTAATCAACAGGGCATTATTATTTTTCACATTAAAAGTGTAAAAACTCTTTACACGAACACGTTTAGATGTAATAGTTATCTTGCTCCTCCCACAAAGAAGCATCTTAAAAAAGTCCACTAAAGTATATAGATTAATTTAGTCATGAAGGAACTTATTATTTTTATTTAGTTTTCTTTCTGGTTATCTCTATGATAATAAAGCGAGAGCATGTGATTTGGTGTAAACAATTTATTGTCACTTTTTAGTATTTCTTTTTTATTCTTCAAATAACTTCTCGTCACTAATCCATTTCAACTCAACCACTAATTTCACACAATCAATAAAAGTATGTGCTTGCTATCGTTGCGGCAAAAAAAAAAAATGCTTGTCATTTAAACATAACCCGCCTACCGACACTTGCTTGAATTAACTTTTTTTGTTTGATTTTTATAATTTTTTTTGTTATAACCTTTTTAATTTGCTATTCCTAGATTTTGTTGTCAAATAATGAGTCTACATGCATTAGTCTGACTGAAGATTTTTTTTTTTTTTTGAATCACTTACACGCATATTGAGTGTGCATCGATCACTCGTCTTAATTAAGTCAAGCCACCGAACAAACTTGGCAAGCATCAGCAGAAGGGGATTCATCATAGCTATTCCACCTACCGAAGTTTCGAACCAACATGTTTCCCCGTACCAACAAACTCCAACTTTTCTGATATGTGCTGCAACCTCAAGTCCAAGTCCCATATCCAAATCTAGTATAATTCATGACAGAATAAAATAGTGCACCCTTTAGTGGACCTTTTTAGTTGCCTTAACTCAGAAGTCTAAACCGCCCTCCACATTTCGCCCCTCAATAAAGAAAATTGCACATTACTCATTTGTCACAACAATGATCCAAACTCCCCTCGTGTCACTTTCTACTGCTGTCCACGTTTCTTCAGGGCTTCAACTTATAATCCCCTTTCACTTCCCCATACAAAGTACAAACTACCAACATCTTCAAGAACAAGACCAGCAACCTGTCCTGACATTTTTTTTTCCTGTTTTTCATCAATTCCAATAACCATTCAGCTATTAGCCACCAGCCCTTTAATTCTGCTAGCCAAATTTATTTGTTAGTACATTCGAATTAAAAAACAAGAAGTAAATGATGAGGCTGTTTGTGTATTTGTTGGAGGGGAGGGACTTGGCAGTGAAGGATTCATATGTGAAATTGAAAGTTGGTAAGTCTAAGTCTAAGACAAGGGTGTTGAAGAACACAAGAAATCCTGTTTGGAATGAAGAGTTTGTGTTCAGAGTGCATGACTTGGAGGATGAACTTGTTTTGTCTGTGTATCAGTTTAATGAAGACTCTGGATTCTTTAATGTGGCTGGAGATTTGGTGGGCAGGGTTAAGATTCCAGTTTGGTCTATTGTTGCTGAGAAAAACCACTA